GAAAGGTCAGTTTTGGCTTACCAGCCGTCGTCAGTAAGTCATATGCCACCCAGAAATGTGGAACACTTGGAGCCGAATCCATAAAAATAGTTTTTGTTGCCATTATTAGTCTGGATCACTTCGAGCGGGCAGAAAAATTGATGAGATATGGTGACTGAATTTAGGATTTTCAACGAGGAAGACCTCGAAGTTTATGCGTTTTATGTAGCAGGTTAATGCAACGAGTGAACAGACGTCAAATCAGGTGGATTAAAATTAACATCTGTTATTTCTGAAACATTTTTTAAATTAATAACTGTCGTCGACTGAACCTATGCTCTGTGCTGGCTTGGTTAACAGAGGCAGTGGATCTGTAGTTACATGCAGATGGAAAAAACTCCGATATATTTTCTTACCTAGAAAAACGTTACTGGCTAAAATTGTTCATGTGAGAAAATCGTTTACGGTAGTGTCAAGCAAACAAAGCACTTCTTACTAAAGTGATCCGATAATTCTTCTCTATTCTACGCATGAAGAACGAAGTTTGTGGCTGAAGAGATTTAATATCTGAAAAGCTGATGTATAAAGATTCCATTACTTATCCTCAAGAGAATTAACAGCGAATGCAGTAGTCACAAAAATACAGAACGTTATGTTACGCAGGTCATTGGGAGAGGCCGGGAGGTGAGTGCTGCCTCTATCATAAAGACGCATTATTTAAATTATCTCGATGCACGGTGACAGTCCCTTGCGATTAGCTGCAAGTTTCATATTCACTTCGGCCCCTCTTCTATTTTTAATTAACAGGTCAGGATCATAGTCCTCTGAAGACACCAAAAATTCCAGTTACCTCACGGTATATTTCGGCGATAATGTGATGTTCACTGCCTTCTCAGACCAACTAGAAGTGGATACGACTTTGGAACTCCAAATAGTTTCCAAATATTCCTTCGGGTTTTGTGATTGAGTGTTAAAACTTGCGCCAGGGTTCGTGGCAAACCCGTTTCTTGACCTGTTCTTTTGGCTACTCCCGTTTAACAATTCTACTTTTGAGAGAGTTGTGCATGTTCAGTCGGAAAGGACTTCTAAATTGCCTCACTAATATTCAAAATCCCAGTATTATATCCATAATGCCTTAGCATGCTACGTTAGAAGTTCGTCCAGTTGTTTTCGAACGTATTTGTTATAATAATAATGATTATAATAATAACAATAATAATAATACTAAGAGGTAACATGTATTCATTTAGTTGCTTTATTTCGTGACTCTTTGCGTGTGGCAAAGCCCGAAGTACTCCATAGAAGTTTACAAGAATGCTTACGCATTCACAACACAACCTGCAAACACACGCCAGTCCCCATGGACTAATCAGGGAGGTGATTCTGTTGTTCGACGCAGCCAAAGTATCAATAGAGCACATTATGTGTCGTGCCTAAGTAAAACAAGCCTTGCTAAGAGCTACGAATGCAGAATGCGTTTCTCCAAATTTTTTGCTTTGCAAGACAAACAAAAATCTGTACTTACGATAGACAAAGGGGTCAATAAGCATTATGCCCATGTATGCAAATGCCTCTGTCAATGGTTATCATACCATTCTGCAAGCTAAGCAAAAAGTTTTGCTTTGAGGCGTCGCGAAAGTGCAAGACCTGAAAACCCTGAAAACATTTCACTAGCAACTGTGAATCTTGCTGAGTCCAATGGTAACTTATCTGATTGGCCCAAAAGACACAGGCTACACGAGAAGCGTACTGATAGATGCTAAATTTCGAGGTACTCCGTAGCCTACTCCGTCCGGCAAATTACTTTGTTAAATCGAGGGACGCCTGCGAAATTGACAACGAACTAGGTCAAGCGTGAACAAGTGCTGGCAAGAGTCAACCGGTCACAAGAATAGTCGTTAACTGATAAGGGTGCCAGTAGGAGCTAGCAGTATGTGAATGTAGTGTTGTCAGGGCATACAAAAGGGCTTACATGACACATTTTGTTGAAAAGTAACATTTAACCAATCACCAAGCTCATATCAAAATAATCATCATGGGAAACTATAAATCGAGATAGAGAGCAAAACCAGAGAGCATATTACCGTGCATCAAAAAGGTGGAGAGAGCCCAGCGCGAAACAAAGCTAACACACTTAGATGAGCCGCAATCAAATGTCAAGGTCGAAGTGATCTGTTAAAACAAGCCCAGCATGTTAACTTCAAATACATGCGTACGACCGTATATGTCTTTTCAGCTGAAGTTGGACAAGTATAAGTCTGTGAAAACGCACATAGATCTTGGCATGCAAACGACTGCGATATTGATCCTGTCAGAACGCTGTAAATTGGTGGTCCAGAAGGCAATTAGTATCCCGCACAAAGTAAACTTTCGTCTAAAATATTTCCTCCTGAACCCTTCGGACGAATTTTGGTCATCTTTGTGATATCCATTTTGAAAAACGGAATGCCAGTATGGTCACTGTTGATGAGAAAAGATATTGACTCCTTCTAACAGGTACAACTTAGGGCAACAAAGATAATTGAGAGAACTCCACATCTCTATCCTGCAATCAGTTAAGATGCTGCATGTTGTGAACGTGCCAAATGATCCGGGAACTGATTGCTCGACAAAACCGGAAGATTTCTTTGAGATTGCAAGCACTACTTTTAGTATGACATCATAAAAAATAAACAAACGCGACTGGACCGCAGGAAATTTCTTCTCATCCAATGGAGAGTCTGACCATGGAACTCGTTACCATGTGAGACGGTGGCGGTTCAAACCATTTCGCTTCTAAGATGAAGGCTGAATGCATAGACTTTGGCAAAGATTTCTTCCATCACATGATTACATAGAGACAGACTTATAAAACACCTCTTGATCCTTATTCCCTTCATTTTGATTTGCGGTGAAAAGCGACGATCGTTTGCAATTTTGTCGAATTACGACTCGAACGTTTTCTTAATCTACAACTTTCTATTGAGCGAAAATATGCAATGTTACCGTATAATAATAAGTCACCAATAACTCCGCCTGTTAACTTCATATACATGCGTACGACCGTATATGCTTTTTCGGATGAAGTTGGATCAGTATGACCCCGCTCCATATAGTGCTTTCCACAGATACGAAATACGGATCCCTTTCCGGTTGACGTTGTTTTGGCGCGTTATTCAAATCACGTATTTCCGTTTGGCATACTATGGCACATATTCCAAATTGAAGACGATCAAAGACATTTTCCTAAAAGACTCTCAAGTAAGGCATGACCAAATACTTCCTGATCACATAGATGTCAACCAACAATCCTAAAACTTTTATGGGTTCGAAGGGTAGAAGCAGCCTTTGTCTCCTTTTTGCATTACGAATGGTTAAAATCTTCCTCAGACTCCAGGCCCTACCCCTTCTAATCGTTCATACAGTCTCCTTAAGACTTCCTTGACTATGCCTCCTCCCGCTTCTTCCACAGCTATGTGATCCATCTTCTTTGCTTTCCGGTATGCTTTCCTCTGAAATAAGCTACCAATCGATATAAACTAATCGGGTACTCTGCTTACGTTTAAGAGAAGACTGCGTCTTCATCTGAAAACTGCCTGGATTAAATGTTCACTTTTCTCCATCCTTCTCGGGCAACTATCCCTTTGACTATGAGAAAGGATTGTCGGAATTTAGGACCTATCCGCCAAATTACCGTACCCGCTCAGATTTCTCCTTCTGCGTGTGGTTGCGCTTTTTAAATACTCTCATTAGAGTTTCGATTTTTTTGGTTTTATCAGTCCATGCATAGTTTCCTTCGGAGAACGAGATATCCCCCCTTACCAACACTCAGAGAATTCGTAGAGCTATGCTGACATGCACGCTCTAACCCACCTCCGTTTCACTTATCGATGGCCCTCATCAGGAATCCGTTCTGGTCTCTGAGATTTTGGACTCTCGCCTCCAATGTCAGTCCCACCCTGGATCTGCCGCCGCCTTATATCCCCAGGCTGTCATCCTACCCTCATTAAGAATTTACCCTGCCCCCCCCCGCCAATTTCCCTGTGAGGACAATAATTTTATGGGCTTTAACGCCGTCTCCACACCCCCCAAGCGATTTCTTGACGCTCGCCACGGACTCCTCTGCTAGTAAATTGTCGGTCAGCAAACTAGTATCATAGTCGTATCTCCCCGCGTTTTGATGGACCCCGCAGCCTTAAATATCACTTTATCACCTGGAATCTAGGCGTACCGTTACCAATCGCGCTGGGTCCCCCCTGTCTCGCCACATTGACGGTCGCATCTGTTGTCGACCCGAAAATATTAGGATCTCACCTTTAGCTAAGAGCCTCACCCGGTATGGGGATTTAATACTAACAATGACCGTTCAGAATCCTTGCATACCGTTGCTGGCGGTACGACCCTGTCCTGTCCGCATATTTACCTTCCCATGAGCGACATTCCGTTCCTTAAGAACTAGTTAAATCACATTCACTTTACCTTGTTCAAAAGAACAAAGGAGTTTTTTTACTGTTTCTTAGCCGTCTTTCGTAGCAGACTGTCTTCTTTATAAGCACGAACTGAAATCTCTATAGTGTCTGCCTACTTGTTCTAGTATTCACTCAAAAATTCATTTGATTCATTATAAACCTACCCTAAGGTAGACCAAATAAATCAATTTACTCATTTGTATGTTCTTTTATTGCATTTGGTTACTACCTCCTTTTTGTGAGCTAAATACTATTATATTGAATTTGTCTGCTCACAGTTTACGATTCAGTAACCAGCTAACGTAGTAAGGGACGGGAAAGTTCTGCATCCTGTCTGTCTACACTTCCGCCAACGTCCTCCTCCAACTCCTACGGCAAGAGTGACATCGATCATGTAGGCCGCTCAGGCTTACTCAGGTCGTTATCCCACTTAACAAAGTTGTGGCCTATAGTGGGGTCCGGCAGCCGCCTAGGGTGTCTGAACAGCCCTATTTACAGAGAGCATTGCTCGCCTCCGCGAGGGGGACGGGGCTAGAAAAGGTGACCTAAGAAAATGCTAGGGAACCACGTCGTCTACAGGCTGGCCGTGGTTGCAAACGTAAAACATTCAAAATCGAAACAACACTGTCTCTTTTCCTTCTTCTTCTTCTTCTTCTTCTTCTTCTTCTTCTTCTTCTTCTTCTTCTTCTTCTTCTTCTTCTTCTTCTTCTTCTTCTTCTTCTTCTTCTTCTTCTTCTTCTTCTTCTTCTTCTCCTCCTCCCCACCGCCCTAATCGCCAGACTCTGGTATCCTGGAATGTTCGCTTGCTTCTAGACAATCACAGGAGCAACCGATCAGAACGAAGGAAGGCGCCAAGGGCCTGGGAATTGGCGCGTTATAAGATGGACATCGCTTCACTCAGCAGGACTCGCTTTTCCGAACAAGGCCAACCGAAGGAGATGAGTGTCGGCTACACCTTCTTCTGAAGCGATCGTCCCAAAGCAGAACGACGGGACGCGGGCGTCGCCTTTGCCATCCGGAACGACATCTTGGGACGACTGTCCTGTCTGCCACATGACATCCATGACCGCCTGATGAGCCACCGACTGCATCTGCAGGGAGTCAAATTCGCCACCATCGCCCGTGTCTACGTTCCGCCGTTAACCAAACTTGACGCCGCAAGGAGCAAATTCTACAAGGACCTGCAGGACCTCCTGGCAACTGTACCGAAGGGGGACAAGTTGATTGTCTTTGGTGACTTCGGCGCCCACGTCGACAGAGAACATGCTGCCTGTAGGGCAGTTCTTGGTCCTCATGGTCTAGATGGCTTCAATGGCAATAGCCTGTTCCACTTAAGAACCTGCGCAGAACACCGGCTCATTCTCACCAACACCTTCTTTTGCCTCCCGATGCGAGAGAAGACCACCTGGATGCATAATCGGTCGCGTCAGTGGCACCTGCTGTAATATAGATCCGTCGGGATGTGAGAGCAGCCGGATGTGCTGATGACAAAAGCGATTCCGGGTGCCGACGGGTGAACCGACCGTCGCTTCGTCATCTTCAAGATGAGGACTCGCCTACAGCCTCGCAGGGGACCTCAAGGTCAGCGACCCCCAGGTAGGCAGAATATTGATTTGCTGCCTTTGCCTGCTCACGATCTTTATTTCAGCAATTAGATGGCTCAACGGCTAGCCGGCCTTCCAGTCGCCACCGCCGCCGCTGATGAGAACGTCTCCGTGAAGTACCGATGGTGTCAACTGCGGGACAAGGTCCGATCGACGGCTCTGGCTGTCCTCGGTCGCGCACGTCGCCAACACCAGGTCTGGCCTGATGATAGCAACGCCGCCACCCACAACACAATCGCCGAGCAGAACCGACTGCACAGAGCCTACGCCAACGGCCCCACTACCGACAACAAAGCAGCATTCTACCGAGGTCGCGGCCTTGTTTAACAGCGGCTGTGGGAGATGCAGGAAGTTTGGACGGTTAGCAAGGCCGAGAAGATTCCATAGCACGCGCATCGCAACGGATGGAAGAATTTATGTTCCGCGATCAAGGGTCTCTACGGTCCCACAGCCAAAGCAAATGTCCATCTTTTCAGCGCCGACGGCAGTACCATTCTCACCGAGAAGACACGAATTCTTCAGCGCTGGACCGAAGACTTCAGAAGCGTCCTTAACCGTCCTTCCACCATCTCCGACACCATCATTGCCCGTCTGCCTCAAGTGGAGACCAACGCCGACCTCGACCTCCAGACCTAACACTACGAAAGTATCATGGCCGTGCGGAAGCTCCCCAGCGGAAAAGCCCCGGGTCGGACGCCATCCCTGCTGAGATCTACAAGCACGGTGGCCCCCAACTCATGGATCATCTGACTGGGCTATTTCAGCAGACGTGACATCAAGGACAAGTCCCGCAGGATTTCAAGGACGAAACAATCATCGACCTTTATGAGCAGAAAGGTAATTGCCAAGTCTGAATGATCACCGTGGCATCTTGTTGCTGAACATCGCCGGGAAAATCTTCGCTTGCTTTCTTCTCAACCGCCTGAACCACCATTTGGAACAAGGTCTCCTGCCGGAAAGTCAGCGTAGCTTCTGCCGCTATCGTGGAACCACCGACATGATCTTTGTCGTTCGCCAACTGTAGGAGAAGTGTCAGGAGATGCTGACCTACCTCTAACCTACCGTGTATTTCCTCGCCGCCTGTGACAACTTCAGACTGGTCATTTTGACGCCCCATGATCTCTAAAGGTTTGTTTAAACGAAGAAACACTTTTGGCGCGCGGACCTGGGATGATGATAACGTAACTGCTTTCTGGCGAAGACGGCCGGGGTTCCTCCCTCTCACTTCTGTCGACCCCATTTACCGCAACTTACCGTTACGCTCGAACCCCTCTCTCTTTCTGTCTCTCCCTATCTCTACATCAGCACCTTCCTCGGCCCTCCCCTGGAGTTGCCCACAACGCTGCGTTCCGAACCGGTTATTTACCTGGCATGTCAGTGTGGCTTTCCATCCAGACAGGTTACTCAATTACTGTAATTTATGCTGTTTCTAACATTAACTATTATTATATCTATTTTTAATTACCGTCTATTTTTATTATCCCTTATCGCCTACGTGACGTTCCTTTTTCCCTTACATGCGAACGAGTATCGCGACATTAGAAAACCCTATTCAGGTAGATCTTAGCCAGGATCTCTTCCCAGTGTTTTGTTACCTTGGTGTGTACTACCCTTGACGTCCTCGGCCGCTACATAATCACCACGGAGAAGACGGAAGAAGAAGGAAGTCTGGGCAGGGAGGCGAACGATAATGATGTAAAAGAATGAGAAACAGCCCTTACTGCCTTACTACGACTTGAGGGTTACGATAGTGTAGAGTTCAGTCCAAACTCTAGGATAGTGTCCCTCCGAAGGCGACATGCAAATGGGAATGGACCTCATCGTCACCGCCTGCGACAACGTCGGCCTGGTCATCAACACGGAGAAAACGGTGGATATGCATCAACCGTCATCCAACTCTGCCCACAGCGCACCCAAATCCACGTGAACGGTGCCCAACTGCAAATCGTGCACAACTTCATCTACCTGGGCAGCATCCTTTTCCGTAACACCAAAATCCATGATGAAGTCAAGCCCAGCCAAGCCTTCAACCGTCTACAAAACACTGTGGAATCGACATGGTCTCCAGCTCAGCACCATACTGAAGATGTGCAAAACGGTCATCCTGCCGACGCTGCTGTATTGAGCGGAGACTTGGACGGTCTACAAGAAACAGGCGCGCAGACTCAATCATTTCCACCTCCGTTGCCTTCGACGGATACTGGATAAGATGGCAGGGCCGGATGCCGAACGAGGATGAACTGGAGCGGACGGGGATCCTCAGCAGCTATGCCATGCTGAGACAGCTTAAACTACTTTGTAGCGGCCACCTCGTGCGGATGAACGACGAGCGGCTATCCAAACGACTCTTCTACGGTGATGTCACTACGGACTCCCCTTGAAAAGTAGGCTAAGTTCTCCGCCACAAGGACACTCCGAAGACTTCCCTGAAGCGTCTGCAGATCAACCCGGCCAACTGAGAAGATCTCATGCGAGACCGACCGACCTGGAAGAGGACAATAAAGACAGGTGCAGTGATCTGCAAAGCCAACCAAAGGCAAACGCGAAACTCGAAAATATCAATTGCCTCCACTTCTCAGCGCAAACGCTCAAACCCCTCTGACCTGCCCCAGCTGCCAGTGGACATTCCCGACACCGCTTGGCCTTAGAAGACATCTTCGTACCCACCGTAGCTCCCCGACCACGCCAACTGCTGTCTCCTTTCCTCATCCCGCATGCCGACCACTAACATTGACCACACTCCCGAATCCCCACCACCACCACCACCACCACCACCACCACC